CGCGTCTCGGACTCCAATAAAATCATGTGCACCTTCTTGAATACTTCAAGGAATGGCACTTCAAGTCTTCGTGTTTGTCGTTGTAGCACTTTGATCTTGACTTGAATAAATTGTGTTTGTCAATTATCAAAACCTGTGAGTCAATACTTAACAACACAGAAAGGGTTGAACTCATGCATTCCAACAATCACTAGATATATCTAAGGGCTTACCTCGGAGCTTAATAATGATTTCGGTGATTGAATGACGAAACCTGCGGCGACTATTACTCCCAACTCCGGCGACCTCTCACCAAATTGACAGCACTACTGTGTTCTCCTCACTCAGAACAACGGAATAGAAAGAAGAATATAATTGTGAAGAATAGTGAAGAAATGGGGAGTTGAGGGTACTCCTTATATAGTTTGAAGGATGGGATGAAGTAAACATTTTTCTTGTGGTTTATGCGTCATTAAGGCGATCGTGAATCAAGTAGTGGAGCGGACAACGATATTGGAGATATACAAACGATTCTCCTTGATTGGGCTAATTTTGATCCCAATCGGGATACACTTTTTGGTCAAAGTTTCTCTGAATTAAATTTCGTTTGCATCATTGCGATCTGATAATCAAACTCTATCCGACGATATAATTTTTATATTTATTTGTAATACTTTTTTTGACATCATATTTTTGGGGGTTTGACTTTGACAAAGTCAAAATTGATTTAATTGACCTTCATTCAAAAAGGTTCTCATATTTAATTCATATTAATTATTCTCATGATTTATTTTAGTAAATCATTTCAAAGTTCACATCATAAACAAATTCTTCATTTATTCTTAATTTGAGTATGTACTCTAGTTCCCAATCAAGATCACACAAATAGTCAACGTATTGGATTTATCTATATGAGTTTTATCCAGAGTGTGATATTGGACATCAAAACATATTTCATTTTGGCCCAAAGCCAATAATAATTTATTTTAGTCAAATCACATTTGTTTAATTGAATAATAATATTAATAATTTTAGGGTGTGTTTTGAGCGTTACATTTGTTTCCCCTTAAAGGAATTTCATCTCGAAATTCTTCTAAGACTTCACGATCAATATCTTGTTGTATTCTCATTAATCATGATTATGCCATGTTTATTATGTCAAATCATGATTACTTCGTTATCCCTACGTACACGTATTCTCAAACTATCGATGTCATCAAACTCGTTCTATCTTTGAGAGATTAATAGTCTTTGACTAAGCAAGTTATCTAATGGGATAATATCCTTGGGCCTAATTAAAATACTGGGCCGGTCCACACGAGGAGGCCTATAGGGAACCCTAACCCTAGGCTCATATCTTGACGCTATATAAGAGGCACAAATCTAAGAAGAACAGGGAGGCCACCTCCTATATTTCCCACACATTGTATTCATCTTCTCCTTCTCAATGGAGCTTCAACTCAAATTTGTATTCACTAAGAGAATTTATCTCAGAAATTGTATAACAATACACAACACTTTGATATAGACTTGGATTTTTACTGTCTTGGTGCTAATCTACTAATAGATTCAAATTATTTTAATTCAATGAACAAAGTAGCTAACAGAGGAACAGAGCCACAACCCAAAGAGGTGCTAATCTCAGAATTGTTAATTGTTAAAATTGCAGAGTGGCTGCAAAAGTGTAGAATTTCTAATCATTATTTGCTAGAGTACCTTAAGGAAGAAACGATGGAGTCAAACTTCAGAGTTGAAATTGGATAAACGGATAGGCACATGGAGTTATAGTCGGAGCTGGACGGACGTCGGACGAAGAAATGATGGATGAAATTGAAGAATTAACCAAATTAAACTCGCCAGATAGAGTTGGAGACTTGGAGTTGGAGTTGGATGGGTGGGTTGCTAGACGGACGGCTATAAAATGATAAGGCGTCCGGTGAAATCGGCTTTGGATATGTGACAAACGCTTTAAGGTAAAGATTCCTAAAATAGAAGGCAAAGAAGCGTTGCTCTGCTTCTTATCTTGTTGGACAATCCACAATAAAGGTCTTGGAGCAGTTACGTGTAGTACAATCAAATACTTATATGAGAACCATAGTGTATAATATGAAGATAACGACATATGGGCACTTTGGAACTAAAAAAGCAATGTACAACAACTATAGCTTGAGGTACCGTTTTGTCTAACGAAAAAAGTACATAAAATTAAGGAATACCTAACCCTTCTAGCCATTTATAATATATAGAAAGATATTATTAGAATAAGTGCCCTTCACTAGAGGGGGGTGAATAGTGAGGCACGAGAATGTTTATAAATTTTCGCATAATAAAAATTGCAGGGATAAAGTATTAAGAACGAGAAAAGTAAAGAGCGTGAAAAGCGTAAAGGGAGCACACCAAGATTTTTACTGGTTCACCACAACGTGTGGCTAAGCCCAGTCTCCCAAGAGACTCTCTCAAGCGACACTACTTCCGTTAAGCTTACTGGTGCTTAACAAACCGTTACAACCTGAGAACTCGAGTCCCACGAGCCTCAATACACTTACTTGGAGATACCGCACACCAAGACTTCAACCCGAAGGAAAATACCTTTCCTTCGTACAACAAAGGGAACAAACCTCCCTTAAAGTGTTCACAACACTTAACCACTCAAGAACAAAAACTCTCTTAAAGAGTAGAATATGAGTAAACTAATTTAGATCAAGAACACACTCAATTTGCTCAAGAAATGGCTCTAAAAAGCTATGTAAAAAGTTTATGGAATGATGCAATGTAAAGCTATGAAATGTGTGATGAATGGTTGTTAAAAGTAGACCCAAAAGACACCTTTTTATACCCAAAAACAAGGTGCAACGGTTGGGAGAAGATTAGGGTTGATTGGCTTGATTTGTGGAAATCAAATAAAAGTGGATCTACTGAAATCTGGCTTGACAGCACTGTTCATATAGTGAACATCGTTGTTTTGGCTTTGTCTTTCCTTTAAAAATGGCTAACAGTCATAAAAGCATCGATGTCTAGAAGTCTACATCGATGTTGGGGTGATTGACTTTCAAAAATGGAAATATTTTGTCTTAAATAGCCCAACGGTTATTTGAAAACATCGCTCTTCAACAATGAACATCGCTGGTCAAAAACCTACTCCCTAAGACTGGCGTGAGCCAACATGGCCAAAATATAGATGTTCAAAGTCCAACATCGCCGTTCAGACATTGATGTTCAAATCCCAACATCGCTGTTCCGACATTTATGTTCAAAATCCTACATCTATGTTGGGTCTGGTCGCCAGAACCATGGTTTGGCAGCCAACACCGAAAACCGATGTCAAAAACCAAAGTTCTCCAAAATGAAAGAAAGGTGTTAGAAACCAAGTATAAAAACTTAAAAACCACTTCATTAAGGTAAAAACCACGGCTAGCCAAGTTTATGTCGTTTCACATGGTTTTCACCAAAAGACCAAAAACGAAAGGTGGTTTTTAACATGCTTTTGTTGGAGAATTATCTGGATATGCCCAGAAGTAAAAACGAATCATAAAATTTTAAAAACCACTTGATTGATTTGGGCACCAAAAACCAACACCGATAACCTACGCCAAATGCCGATAACCAATGCCAGAAAACAAAAGTTATGGTTTTTGAAAAAAAATCATTTGGAAAATCCTTAAATGTGTTCAGAAGCAAAAACCAAATATAAAACCCAAAAACCATTTGGCTAAAATCAATGCCAATAACCCATGCCGAAAACCGAACGCCATAGCCGAACGCCGATAACTGATGGTTATGGTTTTGGTTGGGCAAGAACCAGAGCTTTTAGACACTTAAAACCATTTATGAAAACAGTCATTTGATGCATGAAAAACATATTTTGTTTTGAGCCATGACTTAGAGAAATTGAATGAGCTTGTTACAATAAAAACCTAAGTATTTAGACAATGTCTTCAAAACGCCAATGTCGTCGTCTTTAGAAACGTCAATGCCTTTCTTGTGCTTTTTGTTCCTTCAAAAAGCTTTTGCTATGACTTTGAATCTTTTCATTTTGTCCCAAGTTCCCGACGGTTTGTCAATATCAAAACCTAAACGGAAACAAACATTGCCATTAACAAAACATCAATGTGATATATAACAGATATGTTTACACATACATACCATGTTTTAACATAAATAATCAAACAAACTAATATAATATAAAGTTCATTTAAATTAATAAGATTTCTTTTAATTAACATAACAAAAATTCAAAAGCAAATGATTTTTAATAATTATATTTTATAAAATATAATTTGTATAAAACGCAAATATATTACAGAGTAATATTTTTAGATATAATATAAGAAATATTGCAAGTTAAATTATTCAAAATCAACGTTGGTTCATCATATAAATTATGAAGTATGATTGTTCTAGTATTCATATAGGATTTGTTAACTATTCAAATATTAATCAAATACAAATAGAAATTTCATTTTTAATTCGTTTAATTTTTGTTTTCAGATTTGGAAAATTCTATGGTGGACCTATGGTGCACCATGAACCTACATATGAGCAAAATAAGCATTTCATTACTACTTGAATAAGCATTTATTTTTTTAAATAAAAATAATAAAAAAGATTTTTTTATGTGAGAAAATTCACAAAAATGATATGCACCGTGCACCAAAGAAGCATTCTTCATATTCATATTTGAAAAAAGTTAAATACTATCTCGAATATTTGTCCAGTTATGCCTTTTTTTGGTCAACCGTTTTCAATCTTTGAGTTATAATTAAATAAAACATTTATTGTACTTTAATTAAATAAAATAATATTTTGAAAATATTTCATATAATTAATCTAAAAAATAATTTTGTATTAATATCAAATATCATTTTTATTTAATTTAAAATCAAAATTTACTAGTTTTGACTTAAAAAATTAAAAATGAACAAATATTTCAAAAAGAAGAGAATACTAGGTTCAAATATTTCAAAAGTTCTTTCCAAGCGTTTACAAACCTAGGAGTATTAGAGGAGGTTATTCCACCGTGCCGCCTGCCACCTCCGTCTTGTTGCGGAATCACTTCGTGGATGCTCAAGAAAAGTCAGCTAGCGAGACTAATTCGAAATTCGATCAAGGTTTGTTCTTCATGGAGGTTTTGCGATTCACTAAACCCTACCCTTGATTTTTTTTGATGATCTACTCTGATTTAGCTTGCCAATTTTGTCAGTTTTTTTGCCCGTTATGTTATTCCGTTTTCCCCCACTAAAAGCAAGTATTTCTTGCAATTTTATTCATTAAAGTCTTGCAAGTCTCTTTTTTTCTGTTTCTTTAAAAGGTTTTTATTCCTGATTTAGTTTATACTCTGTTTTTTTGGTTTTCGTGATTTAGTTCATACCGGGTTAATATGTTTTAATGTTGCATTGTTTATGATATGAGACATATTTCGTTGTACCTTTCAAAATAAATTATCTGGAGTAGTATTTAATTGTAGGTGTTAAGGTTTGGTTTAATTATTGATTGCACATGATTTCATATATAGTGCCGTGTATTGGTACTATTAATTGAGAATGTTTAAAGTAGGAGTAAAAAAGGTATAATTGCCCGAGTGGGGTGAACTTAGTTTAAATTAGTACTAAAGCACTATGAGTATTCAATATCCAAACTCGGAGTGAGTGTATAACAAATTTTAAAAGAACTGGGTGAATTTAGCCAACGGAGTGAACTTAGTGTTTTAGCAGGTATGACTATCATGACCCATTTTATAATTCCTTGTTCCTACATCAATTCCATTTTTTATTTTTGAAGAAGACATTTCATGTCTTCTCTTGGCTTGCAAGTTGTGCCATGAGCGGCTGAATCATCGACTATGCCCTTGAACTCTTATTTCTTTTTCTTTTTCTTCTTCTTCTTCACATAACACATCTCCTCTTTGGTATTCCATCAAGAGTATCCATTAAGAGTACCATCCTCTCTTCTTATTCTGCCTACGATGGGTGGAGCAAATTGATACAATATGAATATATCTTCTCCCAATTTTTCTTCAGCTTAATTACTCAATTTTCTCCATTTTTTATTGAGTATTGATTGACGATTGGGTCATGTGCTTCCCCATGTACGTAGACTCCGTATTATTTAATCATAAATCAAATTTCAAAATACTTATTTTCCAGAAAAGAAGCCAAACAAAAATAGACAGTTACAGGAAGAAAACATTATAGAACTGGTCGGTACGCTTCCCCAATTTGCCTTCTTATTTCTCTAAGGCTGGATACCCTTTTTCAGGTCACTATAAGTTTTTCATTGGTTTTCCATTAGCAAAACTGAATCAGAGTTAACAAGAAGTTTGATGATATTTGTGCGTAGCCCCTTGCTTTCTATTCGGTATCTTCCCAAGCTCCGTTCTTATTCTCCATTTGCATTACCAGCATCTGCCCTTACACCTGGTAAAATCCACTTTTCTCTCATGCTCTATCCTTTCTCAATGTTTGCTCATATTATGAAGAGTCTTATTGATTTATGGTTTTACTTTGATTGTAACATCTAATTTTTTGAGGAATTGGTTAGAGATGGAGATGGGATCATTAGCGCCTTCAATAATGGTCTTGTGTGGGAAATCTGATGCGGAGAATGAACTGGCCAAATCACTGAAGAAGAAAAAATCTTTGAAGCTCCCTGGAGACGGTGATCTCAAAGTTGTTTTGCATTCGGAGGTAGACAATGGATCCCAAAATGAGGCATTTTGTCTTGACCATTACTTTAACTCTCTCTCCACGGCAACTGGACTCGGGAGATTCGTCATTTACTCTCCCAGACTGTCATCCACACATGATTTCATTTCAAGGTATGCATGAATTCGCCTAGTTATTAGGGTATTAATCATTCTTGGTTTCTCTCAATATTGCATTGAAAATTTGTGTTCCGTCCAATTGAAAGCATCTAATTGATAGCATTTATAAAGCTTATTGTATCATATTGATATTGCAGCGTAGTAGAAAGACCCAGAAACTTACCACCACCTTAAGGTAATGATTGTACCATCATCATTATTTGTTTCTTTTCCAGCAATTTCTGTGAGCTGCCACTCGGTGCAGTGTGTGTTGCTGATGTGCAATCCAAGGGGCGAGGTATCATTGAAATTGTTTTTTAAGTTAATAATGCCTTTTATCAGACAACTTATCTATGTTTTTACTTTCGGGGCCAAGGGCGTTCAATGAATGTGTGGGAATCCCCAAAGGGTTCCCTTCTTTTTTCGTTCACCTTACAAATGGTAGATGGACGAATGGTGCCACATGTGCAGTATGTAGTCAGTCTTGCCATGGCAGATGCCATTAATGATCTCTGGAAGCAATACGTAAGTCCATACAAACATTTTTTTTGTATTGTTGTGATGCATATTGGAATTGCAAGCACAGAGTTTTGAACCTCTTTAAAAGCATAAGATCTAAATAAAGATGCGATTGAAAGTACCTATAAATAGGGTAGATGACATTTGTTGCTTCAGGGAGAAATTACCCTCCCAAGAATACATTTTTTCTGTTCCATTATTTATGCGACATGAAGACATGACACACAAACTAAGAGAAGTAGAATTTTGTGGTTGGTTTGAAAGTGAAAATGTAAGAATCAATTTGAGCAACAAAAATGTTTCAAAATATTGAATGAGACAAACATAGTGGAACAAACAAGAATACTAAAAATAGTGGGACATAGAGAAGAATACAATTTTTCTATAATTCAAATCTAACTAAGCAATTTCTAGGATAATAAGACCAGTTTCCCTTGAAATAGATTTTTTTCGTCATCAGTTTTAGACGAAGTTTACATATCTTACAGAGAGAGACCAATTCTCCCCTTTTAATTTCCATGACATCTGTTGAATGAAAGACAAATCAAATGAATTTCCATATAATTTGTTGAATGACAGAAAATCAAACAAGAGAAACTGATTTAATTCAGATTTTCACTTCTTATGGAGGCAACATTATTAGTAAAGACTAAACATTAAGTCAACACTCATTATTACTATTCAACAGAATTTAATATTCCATAGCTTACGAAACATGCCACAAGTGTAAGTGTTATATGTGAGGGTAATGGGTGATAAGACTCGAGAAATTTAGAAAAAGAGGTTAGCTTTGGGGGGTTTTCTTGATAAGGTATAATCTAAGCTCGAGATGATATATTACATGCTCAAATCTCAATTAGGACTAACTCTAGTATTTAAATAAGAACCACACCTAATTAAATATCTAAAACTTGTTACTCTCACTTAAACAACTTAAATGAACCACTCTCAGGCCTTGTTCTCCCCAACCTTTTACTCTAGACTCCAGAAATCCAAATACCAGCCATCACGACTTTTCTTCTTATTTGCTAATCTCGGCTTGAGAATGGATGATTGCTGTTTGTTGCGCGACTCTGACATGGTAACACTGCCACTCTCCTACATGGCCATCTCTAAGTCCGCAACCTCCAATGTCCTTTTTTATCAACTTTATTTTGATTTAAGTTTTTGAGTTTTACTTATGTTACTAAATTGAACTTTTTATTTACTTTAGTTTGAATTAACTTTTTGAGTGTGGCTTAACTGCTTAAGTTGCTAGATTGAACTTTTTATCAACTTTAGTTTATATTAACTTTTGAGTTTTGCTTTAGTTGTTTAAATACTAGCACCTTTGGGTGTTCTGGAATTAATTTTTTGTTGTGTTTTTACTTCCAACATGAATATTTAGATAAAGTACTCTATTATTTTTTATTGGATTTATGTCTTGTACACTTGTGCATTTAGTTAATCGGTTGCATGACTTGTATCCTGTGGCGATGCCATATTTGTGCCATCACCATTGGAAACTGGCTCATCAGTCATTGCCATGATTGTCGCCATGCGCCATGACAACTAATTAACAATGGCTTGGAGAAAGACATACAAATGTTTCTTACCGGTTGAACATGAAACATAAAGGTCATGGTGCGTAAGCATGCATTCTTTCTAATCTGTAGAGGAGATATAATAATATTTTGCACTTCTGCAGCTCAAAGTTAATATGTACTCCCTTCATCCTCTTTAGTTCTTCCTACTTTTCTTTTTGGGTTGTCCTTTTTGTTTCTTCTCACTTTTCCAATATGGCAACTAAATGAGAACTAAATGTCTACTTTGCCCTTTGAAATTTAAGTTCTTCCAATCACTCCCTTGTTCTTCTTTCTTCTTTGTCAATCCCCCTGCCTCCAGTTTCTCCTTCAACTTCTTCCCCCACCCACAATTTCTTCTTCTTCAACTCACCCCACATTTTTTTCTTTCTCCTCAATCTCCCCCAATCTCTTTGTTCTTCTTCGTCAACCCACCCCACCCCCCACTGTGCAGGAAGGCTACAGATCTGTATCAGCATCAAGTTATGTGCACTCATTCTATTATCAGGGATTTTCTATTTCAAAACTCTGGTGGCAATTCTTGGTTTTCCTCTCTAGAGCAGGGCTAAGCTTGGGGTGTGGCTTTCCTTTGCTAAAATGAAGTTTTCGTTTTTCTTCAACCATGAACCATGGATTGTTGAGGTTCCATTCAAACAACATATTATTCACCTGATTTGGGGATTACAAAAGGATTTAGAGTCCAGGTTTCCTGCATGTTATAGGGATCTAGTTTTGGTCTCACCTCCAGCCCCAAATATGGAAATGGATGGGGTGATCTTGATTTATCAGTCAGCGCATATAAGGTTTCAGTCGTTTAGCTTCAGGCTTCTTCGTCTGGTGGGGAAGAGGTAAAGTGTGTTACAGAAGAAGGGTAGGGAGGGTAAAATTGGAAAGTCAACTACATTTTCACCTTACATTAAAAATTGTGCCAAGTCAGAGTGAGAAGAACCAAAGAGGACAAAGGGAGTAGTATTATTCGGAACTGGTGATGGCTAAATGAGTGTGTACCTAGATTCACTGTTTACAAGTAGAAAATATCACATAATTTAGGCGTGATTACATGTAAACTGATTTCTATAAGCTTCATCAATGATTTCTTATATGAATGAAATGTGAAGCAGTGATGGAAAAGTTTCTTTGAAACTGATCTTTACTCATTAAAGTATATTTTTGTAGTATTTTGACTGAGTGATATTTATTTGCATTCTTATTTGATGGTTTAGCTCTCCCAAATATCTGCTTTTGCATCTGTTGGGTTTTGCTTTAATATAATTGTTTTGGAAATAAATTCATTTCAGGGCACCTCACATCTTGTTGTAAGAATAAAGTGGCCAAATGATCTTTATTTAGATGGTCTTAAGATTGGTGGCATTTTGTGCACTTCTACATACAAGTCCCAGAAGTTTAATGTTAGTGCTGGTAAACAATCTAAGTGTTTCTAGCTGAAGACTTTATTTATTAGTTCATTCAATCCATGAACTGACCATAGTATTTTTCTTTATCTTTGATCACCCCTTCTTATATTCTCTATCGACTTTCCCTTTTGGGCCAATGTGGTTTTTACATGCTGCTTCAGGTGAACAATCAAAATTGGGTTAAATATGTTTTTGGTCTCTGTAAATTTAGTGAGTTTTGCTTTTGGTCCCTCTAATTTTTTAATAAAGTTATCCTTTTAAAATTATTATATATTTTCAAATAGTCCTCCCCCAATTTAAATACTTCGTATATGTTGTGTTGTGACCCCTTCTAAATATATAAATTTTGTTTTTAGTTCCTCTAGAATTTATTTGGTTCATTTATTCCTGTTTTAACTTATTAAATACTATGCACAAGATTAATTTATTCTCTTTATTCAAAATATACTAAATTACAAGGTCAAAGTTATTAAAATATTTTTAGAAGCTTAATCAAACAACTACATTATTATTACAAATTCATTTTAAAATTTGTTAAATTAATACAGAGTACTTTTTAATAAAAATATTTAGCTAAATTAATACTCCCTCCGCGGCTCCGCCCCACAAAACATTTCTAGTTTAAAAAAAGACGGGCTTTAAAAATGTGTATTTTTTGTATTGTTTTCAAATTCTTTTCTTGCTTAATAATAGGGTAGGATATGATGTCTAGGATAGAAAATTAGAAATTAGAAAATCACACTGAAATTTCACATTTTTAAAGCCCCCCTTTTTCAAACCAGAAATGTCTTGTGGGACGTAAGTAGTACTCTTTAGTAAAAATCTTCACTATCTAGCAATTCGATGTCTTTAAAACACATATCTAAGACTCACCATGGTGAGAAAATTTTGTTATATTGCTACTCATTTCAGAGCAAGGTATCCCTACCAAACCCCTTAGCTTACAATTTTCATTTTGATAGCCAATGATTTTTATTAAAAACTATTAGTTTAGAAACGTTATTAATGAATTTGTAAAAATGTAGCTATTTGATTAAACTTCTAAAAATATTTCATTCACTTTGACCTTGTATTTTAAGTATATTTTGAATAAAAAGAATAAATTAGTCGTGTATGGAGTATTTAATAATTCAAAATAGGAATAAATAAACCAAATGAATTTAAATGGACTAAAAACAGAAGTTATAAATTTTAAAGGAAATAAAATATACTCCCTCCGTCCCAAAAAGATTTACACCTTTCAAAAAAATTGTGTCCCACAATCTCCTACCCATTTCTATTAAAAAACCACTTTTACCCCTTACTTTTTCAAACCCTACCTATCACATCATACCTTTTTCTTAATAATCTACACATCACATCCTACTTTTACCCATCACATCAATGGTATTTTTGGAAAGTCAACACAAAATTATCCCTCCCTTAATTTCAACTTTAGTCAAAACGTGTAAATCTTTTTGGGACGGAGGTAGTATTTTTTAAACTGGGTAAGGACTATTTGAAAAAATAAAATTCTTAGAGGGAGGATTTGATTAAAAAATTAGAGAGAGCAAAAGTAAAACCTGCTAATTTTACAGGGACCGAAAAACATATTTAACCCGTCCAACTCTCTCACAAAAGACACTTTATACGTTCATTAATGGCATGTTCTTTTAACCTGAACTTATTGCTTCTTATCTGAATTTATTAAGGTCTGATCTGATTTCATTGTCTCTAATCTAATATGAATCTTTCAGGTATGATCCGATCCTAGTTAAAGTAAAAATTGTTTCTAATATGATTCCAATAAGAGTAAGTAATAAGTAGAAAAAATAGGCTGAAGAGAATGGGCCCTAAATCAATGACTTAACATAACGTTTTCCCTTTCCTTCAATCTCCACTTCTTTTATTCTCTACGTGCTTGGGGCTATTTGGACTGATAAGCTGCTTCATTAAGGTGGTTTATCGGGCTGCTTCAGTGAGGTGGTTTGATAAGCTGCTTTAGGGCATGTTCTCTTCAGCTTATTCTTATTATTTATGAGTATTACTTATTCTTAGAAAAATTCAAACCAGATCTGAAAGATTCATATCTAATGTGATCACAAACAACTTTAACTGGAATGACCAGATTCAAAAGATTCAGATCACATCAGATCTTAATAAATTCAGATTAGAACTAATAAGTTCAGTCAAAGAGAACATACCCGTACTTCTTTCCTTGGATACACTTAATTTCCACATTGCAGGAGATAATATATTGCTAATGCTTAAAAGAAATCTACTTGTTTTACAATGTGGTTTTGTGCATTGTTGAACTTTTATGAAAATTCAGTTGCTTACACATGAACTGCTTAATTTTCCAACAGTATGACTCTTCGGTTTGTTTGGTGGTGTATACATGTATCAGTTGACAAATTCAAAAACATGATTCCATAGTCCATGCTTTTTTTTGATTACTTACTGCCTTTATACAGGAATTGGCATAAATGTTGATAATGAGAAACCCACTACATGCTTGAATGCTGTTCTACAGAAATCAACATCTGCCCCAAATTTATTAAAAAGAGAAGACATTCTTGCAGCATTTTTCAATAAATTTGAGACTTTAAATGAGGTTTTCCTAAAACAAGGTCAGATATTCTTCCTTTAAACGAGGTTTTCCAAAACAAATTGCTTGCTTCTTTTTGTATCCTTTTTTTATTTTAATGTTTTTATTATACACTGCGATGATTTCTAAATGTTTTGAATGGTTGTATATTGCATTTGACCATTTTTACTTTTTGTGGTTTCTGTTGCTCTGTACAAGAGTGAAAATTGCCATAGTTTTCTGCAGTCATGTAGTCTCTTGATGCTAGAATGCCCCTAAGATATGGAATAAACATTGTGATATTTTCTGGTTTGGCTTCTGCAAACATAGTAGCCTGGCTTGCAGTCCAACATACCCGCTTCTTCCGAAATACACAGAGTTATACTTATCCCATGTTTTGAAGGAGGAACTTCAGTCGAAAATACGTTAAATTACCAACATTTTTCGTCTTGACGTGTAAAAACTTGAAACAAGTGTTTGGAAGGTATTCCCTTTCCTCTGATTCCTCTGTGATAATCAAAATATCATCATCAGCCTATTATTCGATAGCTTTCCAGACATTTTTTTGTTTAAAGAAAGACCGAATCATCCACCTTATTATTAAGGTATACATTTCATTTGTAGATTAGCCAAATAACACATACAACAACAACCTAGCTGGATCCCATGAGAGAATGATCTAGGGAGGGTGTGTGTACCATGTAGTAGAGAGGCTGTTTCCAAGAGATGCCGGCTCAAGCAATACAAATAATACAAGATCACAGAGGACATATATAGCAGAGATAGGTGATAGCATAAAGCACACAGATGCAAAGGACAAACTAATTATATGAAGGAAAAGCATGGAGTGAATATACATCAGATCTAGTGTTTTTTTAACACAGATCTAGTGTTAATAATAAACAGAAACACTAGACATCCTAAACTACCTTTTCATTTGTAGTCCTCACCTGAGGCCCTGAAGACTTCTCGATGTCAAAACATCTTCTCTAACAATGACTAACACTGTACGCGCCACAATCTCAAGACTGTTAGCCGTACCTACATAGTTATTAAAGGCGAGCGCCTCTCTCGCCTAAGGTGCCCCAGGCGCTAAGGCGACCCTAAGTCGCCTGAAGAGGACTGGATGAGGCAATCTTCGAAAGGCCACGCCGGGTGAGCGCTTTTCTTACCTGACAGCCACGCGTGAGGTAGTTGCCTCTTTCGCTTTAGGGCTTTTACTTCGCTGCTCCGCTAATCCGCTATTATCATCTCCGATTTGGTGTTACGTCTTCATCTACACCGTTCTTGACTATTTTGATTAGTCCCAAGTCTAATGTTGCCTGCCTGACCCGCCGAGTGTTCATTTAAGTCTTAAAAGAAATTCCTAGCCTTTTGCCTGCCTCTAGTCTTCAATTAGTGTAGTTTTTTAAGGGTTTGCAGTTTTGATTATTTTATAAATATTACTCCCTCCGTCCTAATTCTTTCTTCCCAGTTTGACTTTTCCCCATTTTTAATTTTTGGCTTTGACTTCAAATTTTACCCTCCTTAAAAAAGATTTTTTGATTTTTTTTTTGCAATCATTCAAAATATAGAGTTAGAAGATAATTGGTGTAAATACATGAGGGTATTAATGTCATTTGTCATCTTTTTTTCTAATGGGAAGGTAGTTTTAGGACGGGGAAAAAGGGGAAGTGGGAAGAAAGTTTTAGGACGGAGGGAGTAGTTTTGTTTGAATTTATTTGTTTACGTTGTTTTATTTTTCCAGTATTCAAAATCACATTTTTTGTAGAAATGTTATTAGTTATCTCAAATCAAAATTTGAAAGTTACTTCCTACAATATATTCAATAATTAATGGAGTTGTTCATTTCATGACAAATAAGGGAACAATATCAACAACTATGATAAATCTAAGAATCCAAAAAAGTCCATGTTCAACTCTCTCTCTGTATGTATGTATGTATGTATGTATGTATGTATGTATGTATGTACGTACGTACGTACGTACGTACGTACGTACGTACGTACGTACGTATGTATGTATGTATGTATGGTCTTCTCTCCACAAAGCCTTATCCCATTAGGTGGGGTCAGCTACATGGATCAAACGATGCCATTGCCCATTGCGCCCTATGATGTATCATATCTGTTCTGAGATAATTCACGCGAAGGTCTCCTTGACCACTTCTTGTCAAGTTTTCTTAGGTCTCCCTCTTCCTATAGCCACATGTCTATTCACCATTTGATCAACCCTTCTCACCGAATACTCTATTGGTCTTCTCTCCACATGTCCAAACCACCTAAGACGAGTTTCCACTTTCTTTTCTACAAGAGGTGCCACTCCCACTTTAGCTTTCATATATTTATTCCTTATTTCCTTATTCTATCCATACGGGTATGACACTCATCCAACGAAGCATCTTCAATTTTGCCACACTAACCTTGTGTTCATGTTTACCTTTTGCTTCCCGACACTCTGTTTCATACAATATAGCTGGTCTAATCGTAGTACCATAAAATTTTCCCCTTAGTTTTACAAGTATTCTTTGTCACATATAAAGCTCGAAGCACTCTGCCATTTTGACCAACCGGTTTGAGTCTTGTGGTTAGCATCATCCTTTATTTCTCCATTGTTTTGAACACAATGCACCCAAGATATATAAATCTCTTTATTTGTGGTATTTTCTCTGACTTTCACCTTAATGTTACTATTTCTACTTCCATTGCCAAACTTGCACTCCATATACTCTGTTTTAGTGCGACAACTCCAAAGCCCGCCTCTACGAATCCAACTTCCCATTCAAATCCTCTCTTGATTTGCCCATAGGGATGATATCATCAGGAAAAAGCCATGGTACACGTTCTTTGATATGCACGGTAAGAACGGCTAATACTAGTTTAAAAGGATATGGGCTTAACGATGATCATTGGTGTAATCCAACACCGATGGGAAATTCTCCTGGTACCCCACTCTGAGTTCTCACACTCGTTGTAGCACCATCGTGTGCTTGACTGGCATAAAACTAAATTGGTTCTCTTACACTGGAGTCTCTTGTCTCAACTTCCGTTCAACCACTCTTTCGGACAACTTCATCGCATAGTTGTCATGGCGCCAACTGTCATGATGCCTAGACGACTAGGCGACCACCTAGGCGATAACCAGGCAACAACACTTAAGAAATCAGGATTGGTATACATTAGTATTACTAAGTCATACTAGTATAAATATAAACATACATGTTCTCTAATCCCAATCAAAATTTCAAATACACATAAGAAAAATATAAAGACGCCATGATATGAAAAAACAAGAATATGTAATATGAAATATGATAAAAAACAATATGCAACTTCTTAGTGCAAGGTAAATACTGACTTACTGAGTATGAAAATAGTCACTAACTGAAAGGCATAAAAGATTTTCAAAAGGCAATGCCAGGATGCCTAGTCAAGGCCAAGGTGACGCCTAAGCTATAGATTCAACACAAGGAGAGGCGATACACTAGGCAAGAGGAGCACAGTGTTAGGACGCCTAAGCGACACTGTGACAACTATGCTTCACCGTTTAACTCATAAGCTTGATCCCTCTGTAGTTTCCACCACTCTGAATATCCCTCTTATTCTTGTAAATAGGGACAAAAAATGCTCTTTCTCCATTCATTAGGCATCTTCTTAGATCTTAGAATCTCGTTAAAAAGCTTAGTTAGCCACCAAATGCCTTTTCTTCCTAAACCTTTTCAAACATCAATCCGGATGTTGTCTAGACCACTGCTCTACTATTCTTCATCCGTTTTAGGGCCTCCTTAACATCAATATCTCAAATTCTCTGATAATAATTGAAGTTTTGGTTCCCTCCTTCGTGTGTAGCCGAATTGGAGCATCAGAGATTCACATGCTCCTCATTAAATAGATCATTGAAGTTCCTCTTCCCTTGCTCGTTTATGCTTTCATTGGAGACCGGAACTTCTAGATAAAAGACATAAATTGTTATGAACAAAAACCAAATCTTCAACACGACTTGGATTTAACCTATTTCTCCTCAATGAGTGAATAAAAAAGTATGTAGTCCACTTCGTTTACAACATGATGAAGATGGTGGCTGCCCAAGCATTTTGAATGCTAAAGATTGTAGATTTGTAGATGAGGAGCTTGAGCACCAAAGTTAGCCCACCAGTTCCTACGATTAGGATTTAGGAGATGCATCTCATTGAAAGAGGTGTTAAATCTTCAAAAGGTTTATTGGTCAATGAAATTTGGGTATATTCTTCAAGAACTTTATTATACTCTTTATTTGAAAGTAACCTACGAAAGCATTTCATTTTCTCAAAATTTTAAGATCTTGATGAGGAGCTATTCTATTGGAATCTACATTCAATCATTCATAGCTATAAAATCTTCAAGTTGTGATATGATATTATAAGGTAGCACATGTCAATAAAAAATAAGGTGTAGTAAAAAATAATAAACTTAAATAATACCTTGGATTTAATGAGTTAGCTAGAAAATGAAGTGGAGTACTGCTCTTTGTCCAACATCATACACCTCATCATATAATGGATTAAATCTTTAAAAGGATGATTTTTTTGAATTGCATGCTTAACCTCTCAATCATAGAATCCTACATTTCAAAAACTAAGTGAATACATGGTTTATCATTATCACAACTTTTTATCATCTCATAAATAGGATTTGTGAACTGAATAATGTATTCCTCTTTATCCCACCATTCATCACTTAAAATTTTTTTCCTTAACAAAACTTGCACTCCCTGAGTTGTCCTCTTTGTATGAAATCTATTCATCACTTATGACCTTTGATTAAGACTGCGTCTAATTAGCTTAAACCTCTTCAACATCATAATGATTGATGCAAAACAAATATCAACAACTGAAAGTAATATTAGAGGCTAAATCGAGTGAAGATGGCAAGTTTAATGTTGTTGTTAATGATAATTTTTTTTATGAACATCATAATGAACTTCAATAATTTAACTACAGTGATCATATGTGGTATCATTGTCATCTAAATGCTTAGCCTCGCAAATATTCTTCAAAGCAAAATT